GGGCTGTGCCCGAGTCTCCTCCCTTTGGCCGGCCGCAGGTTGGTGGCGGGAGGAGGGGACGGCTTCGGGCGCGGGGAGGGGGCGCCTTGCGCAGGGGCCATGACCGATCCCGGAAGCCCGGAGCCCGAGACCCGGGTAACTGCTGCGGCATCGCGCTTGCCTTTCTTTAGGGGGAGGTCGATCGTTGGGGTGCGCGGCGCGGGGCTCCCCCGCGGGGTCTGAGCGGAGTAGGGGGCTGCAGTCTAGCAGGGAAGGCTCGCCCCTGGGTTCGCCCTAAGCATGGCTGTCCGCAGCCGCTTGGGGCGGCCTGCACCGTGGCCTCGGCGTGAGCGGCGGGTGGGGAGCTGGGGGCGGGGGTGGGGTCACCTGGTGCCACCCGAGAGGGTAAGAGGGAGGGGGGAGGACTAATAAAGCCCCACAGAGAGGCCGGGGAGGCAAGGCCGAGTGACCCAGAGGCTCCAAGAGGAGAAACTGGCAAAGAACTTGCTGGAGTGAAACGAAACTGGCGTTGGCCAAGGCCTGCTCGGTGAGCACTTTGCTCCTAGGGTTTTACCGACTTCCCACAACAACCCTGCGGAGTAGGCCGGAAACTTATTTAAAGACCAGAGAGACAGGCCGACCGAGTTACCCCAGGGGCTCGCAGTGGGGTTGAGACCCCTCAGTTGTTAATTTCAGATCTGAAGCCCACGTGGCCTGCCTGCTGCCTTTGTTTACCTGGCTCACCCCCAAAGCTTCATACTTTAAAAAAAAAATGCTTTTGTTTTTAACCGACTTAGCCACCCAGGCGCCCCAGACCTTTGTTTTTAATTAACCTATTTAATTGTAAGTTTGTACAATTTCATTTTTTAACAATGGCTGTGTTTCACAACCACATCACATAATTCCTGAAAATGGAACAACTCGTTCCTCCAAGCTGGTGGGCCACCCCTGCTCCTGGTCAGCTTTTTGCATGCATGTGTCTGTGACATATGTCTGGAATGCTTTTCTCATCCCTCTTTTAAAAATTCTTTTTACTCCAAAATAATTATATTCTCACAGGAAGTGGAAAAATGCACACTTTGACAAGCATTTTCCTAGAGAATCTTCTAAACTTTGTGCTTTGCCCTGAGGTGCGGAGGGGGTACCAGGAAGGAGTAGGCTGGGGCAAGTCCTTGAGATGGGCCTGGGGCTGTCCCCTGTGACCTGGAGTCCTTCACTCCCAGACCACCCGCACCTGTAGCGGGCCAGGCTTGGCCAGCACCCAACGGCCCGGTCTGAGCCCTTCAGTGACACACAGCCTGCTCCCCCAGACCCTCCTCTGCTTCCTTCAGTCCTATGTGACAACTGCCAATCAAGTGGGAGTGGGTGGGGCAGGATGACCTCAGACCTCTGAAGTCCCACCCAATCCTGAAATGCCAAGATTCTAGATGTGTTGCTATTGTTGAAAGTCCACCTGTGAGAATAACTTCTCAGAAATAATGGGATTTTTATTAAGCCGTTTTTAGTAATTATTAAAACCAGCCATGAGCAGTGCCTTATGATGGCCCCTCGATATTCATTATTTAATCTCCACCTGTAAGAGCTGAAGGTTGGACGCTCCAATATAAGAAGTGAAGATGGCCAGGGATCCCACCATGCCTGCCCTCAGACAGCTAGTTAAGGAGCAGAGTGATTCACACTGACTTGAGGCTGGGGCTCTGACTCACAATCCGGGTTTCTTTCTACTCTAAATGAATCCTCGGGGAAAAAAACCAGGAGCTCCAAGAATGGGAGGGGGGGAGCCACTGTGGTTCACAGATGGGTTCCACAAGAAGGGACCTGCAGCATCCCCCAACATTATCCAGCTGTGGTGTAACCCACAGACACTGGAATCACCCCTTAGCCAAAGCCCCCTTGGCAGCCTCCTTATCCTAAAAGTCAAGCTGTAGTTTCCGGGGTCCCCTGAAAAGGTCCTCCAGGAAGATTTCCCACCTCTTCTGCTCCCACCCTAGGCTAAGGTAGTGGCCCCTCCATGTTCACACTGAACTCCAGACTTTCCTCAATTATACTGTCCTTTGAGCAGGCCTGTGGCCTGTCTTTACCCCCAGGGCCTGGCAAAATCAAGAGTTTTTCAGCGTCCAGCACAGGGCCTGGCCGTGGGGTAGAGTGACTTCCTAAAAGCCAGACTGCGATGAGTCTGGGAGGGTCCGGGGCACAAGGTGTCACGCTGTAGCCTCGTTAGGCCCTGGTCATCAGTGACCCGCGGCTGGGGAAGAAATCCAGCCTCAGGAGCTGAACTCTGGCTTCAGATCCCAAGGCCACCCTGACCAGCTGTGTGAGCAAGGGCAAGGCACTCACGTCTCTAGTCGCCTCATGCAGAAAACAGGCGTCTTCATAGGTCCAATATTAAAGGCTGCGGTGCTTAGCCTGTGGCCTGGCCCACAAAGCACCTGTTCTCTACCCACCCCTTCCCCTCCGAGGCAGGTCTGCCGGGTATGGATGGTCAGGTTGTGCCCTGATGAAGGGGGAAGGGGGGCCGACCTGCAGCTCACACTCCACTCACCCAGTCACGTGCCCTGGCAGAAGGGGCACCTTTCTCTGACCTGCAGGAAGGCATCTAACGGACCAGGGGCTGTTTGTACCGGGGCTCGGCATGTTCAGAATATCCTGACCCTGGAAGGCTGTGACCTGGCATGTCATGGGCTGGAGTACTCTCAGCCGCTGGCCCCCAGGGGAGCGGAGGGGAGGGGGTGACGCACAGTCACTCTTGCACCTGCTGCATGAAGGTTCAGAGACAAAGTTCAGGCTCAAGGGGCAAAATCTGCCCTTGCTGGGCCCCCAGAGCCTGCACAGTGCTTGCCCACCAGCGTCTGGATTCCGGGGTCAGGCTGCCCAGTGTGAAGCCTGGCACCACCTCTTTAGCCGCTGACCTTGGCCAATTCAGTGCACTTACATGACCCTCAGTGTCGCCCTCTGTGAAACAGAGTATTACCAACCTTCTTGAGGCCACCTGTTCCACAAATTAATTGAGAGCCTACTCTGTGTCCTGCAGTATTCTAAGGTATTGTGAGATTGAATGACGCGCAGGAGTCCGTAAATCCCAGCTGCTAGTCCCATGAGGCTGCTTATGTAAACGTTTGATGAATGAATGAGTGAATGAATTCCACCAGGGACCTTGGTGGGTGGCAAGTGAAGCAGAGCTGCATCTTGGGGAAGGGCTAGAATTTTGGCCCCTACCTGCCTGCCGCCTTGAGCCCCGTCCCCACCCCACCCCCCAGCCAGCCGCAGTAAAGGGGTCAGGGTCATTCCGTTGCTCTGCGCTGTGTATGTCCTGGGGAGGAGAGAGGAAGAGAGGCCCCGGTGACCGAAGTCTGCCCTTGGGTTCGCCACCGCCGCTTTTCTGTGCTTCCTGGACTCTGCCCTCCCAGGGTTCCACCGCCCCTGCCGGCTGGGGCCAGCCCCAGTGGTGCAGGCGGTTGCCGCCACCTGGCCGGCCTCTTCCTCGATTCCTCCTGACATCCTCCCTGTCGCCCAGGCCTGCAGCCCCAGTGTCGCCACCGCCGCCACCATGGCCCCACAGCAGCTCTTCCGCGCGCTCGTGTCGGCGCAGTGGGTGGCCAAGGCACTGCGGGCTCCGAGCGCGGGGCAGCCCCTGCAGCTGCTCGATGCCTCCTGGTACTTGCCCAAGCTGGGCCGCGACGCGCGCCGCGAGTTCGAGGAGCGCCACATCCCCGGCGCCGCCTTCTTTGACATCGACCAGTGCAGCGACCGCACGTCGCCCTACGACCACATGCTGCCCAGCGCCGCGCAGTTCGCCGAGTACGCGGGCCGCCTGGGCGTGGGCGCCGCCACCCACGTCGTGGTCTACGACGCCAGCGACCAGGGCCTCTACGCGGCGCCGCGCGTCTGGTGGATGTTCCGCGCCTTCGGCCACCGGGCGGTGTCGCTGCTCGACGGCGGCCTCCGCCACTGGCTGCGCCTGGGCCTCCCGCTGAGCTCGGGCAAAAGCCGCCCGGAGCCCGCGGAGTTGCGCGCCGCGCTCGACCCCACCTTCATCAAGACCTACGAGGACATCAAGGAGAACCTCGAATCCCGGCGCTTCCAGGTTGTGGACGCCCGCGCCGCCGGCCGGTTCCGGGGCACCGAGCCCGAGCCCCGAGACGGTAACAAACATGGGCGCAGAGGGGTGGGCGGTCAGCTGGGGCGCGGGCGCACGCGCACGTGCGCCCTGAGCTCTGCCTTGTCCTTGCCTTTAAAGGACACCGCATGGGGGCCTGGGATTTGGGTTCTAGTTGCCTCCCTCCCTAAGCTTCACTGGCTTTATTCCTAAAGAGTGGACAATAATACTTGCCCCATCCCCACCCCCACCCGTGCTCGGGGCAGTGACTACCCGAAACTCATTGGGAACCCAAGGCGCCCTGATAAAGGGAAGAAGCC